GATGATGATCTTGCTCCAACCAGCAAACCAGATGAGCACGTGAAGGAATGGCTGAGATGCTGCCCTGGGATAAAGAAAGTGAGTTATCTGAGTGTAAGATTCCGAAGTGGTTCCGCCCAAGACCTCAGTTCATTTCCCACAGTCTTACTTCCCAGGGGAAGGAGGATCTCAATGGCCTCTGAGGCAGCAGCCAGGACTGGGAACCTCAATGACCTGGATGGGAAGAGCCCAGCAAGAGAACTGAAACCTTGTTCTTTCCCTCAAAAAAGTGCAGATAAGCCAGGGGGAGGGGACCCAACGTGCATGAGCCCCATACGGCTGAGTGAGCACTTGGCTGAAGGCAACCTTCTCCTGATCTGCCACGACCTGTCCCACACCACCTGCAGGAGGAGGCAATTTGGGGTCCAGAGGCCAGGACTGGTTCTGTGCTGGAGTCATCGTGTTTAGTTGGAAATATATTTCGGGGGGGGGGGGGGGGGGTGAAGACGGGCAAGGGGGTCCTCTTGACAAGAATGAAAATGTAACTCACACTTGGATTCATCTATGCAGAAGAAAACCCCCAGTACTTCCTTATTTATTAGTCTAACACGAATCTGGCACTTCTCCCGTCCCTACCGGGTGTGCAGTGAGGAACCAGTGAAGCGTTCAACTACATGTGGACGCCATGAGACCCGTGGCTTAGCCTGTCCTGGGACGTGATGCTTTGTTTCTCTTGGGTAAAAGGGCTCAGCTCTCCCATTGCCTTCCCCAGCGTCTCCCACCAAGACGGTGCTGAGGTGTGTGGGCAGACACGGGCAGCCTTTGCGGCATCCGGCAGGAGCTGGCTGGGAACTGGGGTGTGGTGTCCTCGTGTTTCCAGGCAGATCCCTCCTCCCTGTGGCCATGAATTGCACTTGAAGCTGAGTTGTGTAATTCATGGTGCAGTCCCTCCTGGTCTGGCCAGAGTCCCTGAGATGCTCCTGCTGACCAGCTCCCTGCCCCCGGGGTGTTTCCTGGCTGCCTTCCACAGCGCCCCCTCCTGTCCTGTGGGTCTCCTCGCTGTGCCTGTGGCCCCGGCTGGCCTGCTGTCTCACTACCTGGCAGCCAGGCCTGTGGGAATTGCCATCAGTTGGCTTGGGAAGCTGAATGTTTGAGATCTCTCTGCCTTTCCTGGGAGCCCTGGGGTTGGAGGTGGAGGCTGGGTGGGTTCCGCTGGCCCGGGGCAGCCTGAGACGCTGTTTCCTCCCAAACTGGGGCAGAGCCCTCCCTCCCGGGCTCCCTTCCCGGAGCAAAGCCCGGTCTGACTGCTTGGCTCCTCTTGTTGTCCTCCTTCACGTCCCTTCCCATCATCCTCTGGGCAGGAAGGAGTGAACTGAATCATGTCCTCTTCTTTCCTGGGACATCCATTGCGTGAAACTCCACGGTCACACCCAGGGAAAGACTGAGGCATCCAGAAAACGTGCTCTCTAGAGAGTAGCTGGTCTAGAGGCTCTGGTGCCACACAATCCTCCTTTGCACATCAGATGCCACTCTTTTCTGCATATTTTTCTTCTGCGCATTCTGCCAGAGCCAAACCTCATTCCAGACTCTCCTCAGGCAGAAAGGGATGCCTGGGGCCCTGGGAGATGAAGGCCATGCCCTCAAAAAGGCAGGAGAGAAATGCACATTCATAAAATGTCAAATATTCTCTTATGCTTGAAATGTTACCAACATTGGATAATGGAAGCAGAGGAAACGTAACAGGTAAAATGCGAAGACTTTATCCGCAAGGGACATTCACTGTCTGGCTCCTGTTAGACGTTGTCCTTCCAGGGAGGATAAGCACAGAGCCAGAAACAGAAGCCACACAGAAAAAAAAAAAAAAAAAAAAAAAAAAAGAAAAAAGAAAAGAAAAGAAAAGCAAAAAAGCAAAAAAAGCAAGCACTGATAAGAGATGGCCCCACCTGGGAATCCTGCCTGAGCTCCCTGGGGCCAAGGCAAGACCAGGGCTGTCCTAGAATGAAGGCAAGGCTGTGATTGGGCTCCTCTTCAGGCTCCTCATTTGCCCTCTCCCGTGGAGAGAAAAGAGACCCAGGCGACTCCAGCTGCCTGGGAGCCCGGGAAAGGCAGTGGGTCGTGGGTCTTCCCTGCCCCATCCAGTGCTGGGGTCAGGCAGGCCGTGGTGTGAGTCTTCCTCTCGCTCACAGTTCACTAAGGGGGTCTCCCCACGCAGGGCCAACACGCCCCACTTGCAGGCACTTGCCTGCACGTATCTGGACACGTGCTCGGCTCTTCACGTGCATGTGTGTGTCCACGTGAATACCTGTGGAACTCTCAGAAGAGTGCCCGACGCGGTAAACATGATATGGGTGCCAGCTGTTGTTGTCATTGGATGCCCAGAAGAGTCTCCTACACCCAAACACACACAGAGAGACACAGACAAGCAGACGCGTACATTCTCAAATCCAGAGACAGACACACACACCCATCAGTCTTTCCATAGAAGCGTGTGAACCTGCCCTTGTCGATGTGGGCATCCAGTCACACACAGAAGGTGTAACTAACCCCTATTGGAAATTCACTACACAGTAGACATTGTTCTAACGTTATACAAGAGGATTAAGCAATTGAATCCTTACCACACCTTCATGAAGTATGGATTGTAATGTATCCCAATGAACAGATGGGTGAATTGAGTCACAGAGAAGTGACAGCTCACGGTCGCAGAGCTGGTGATTGGTAAACTTGGGCAGTCTGGCCTCCGTGCCTGCGCACGCAATCACCTGCTGTTCTGCATCTTCTTCACAAACACCCATGGTCTTTCCGGTAAAATGCTGTCTCAGGTAAAGAGAAGGTCAAGGATGACGCTGTCGGACCCTTTGGTCAGGCCTCAGGAAAATCAAGGGGCATGCCTTTAGATCAAACATGTCAAACTCCTGGCCCAAGGGCTGCATGCGGCCCACAAGGAATATTTTTTGCAGTCAGCCCATATAACAGTATGCAAGAAACATTTTAATAAAAATTTCATAACTTAATTTTTACATTATCCCATTATACATAAGTAGAGGCCCAGTGCACAAATTCGTGCATGGGCGGAGTCCCTGTGGGTGGCCTGTAGGAGTCAGGCCAAAACCTGCAGTCCAATGCTGCCTGCAGCTCCTACCTGCCACTCCGGCTTATCTCAGCCCCACTGTGCCTGCCACAGGCTCCATGCCCAATCAGTCCCAATCGGGAGAGGCTCACATTGCCACAGCCGAGCTCACCAGCCATGAGCCCTGAGTCTGACACCCTCCCAAGGGGAGTGGCCTGCAGGATCTGGCTGAAACTGGTTCTCCAACATCCCCTGAGGGGTCCCAGATTGTGAGAGGGCACAGGCCAGGCTGAGGGACCCTACTGGTGCATGACTGGGCAGAGGAGGGACCCCAGGAGGGCTCCAGGGTGTGTCTGGCCCATCTCACTCAGTCCCAATCTGCCAGGCCCCTGCAGCAAGCTAACCTACCTATTGAAGCATCTGTCCCCTGGTTGTCAGTGTATATCATAGCGAGTGGTTGAGCAGCCTTCGCATATCATAAGCATATTATACTTTGATTGGTTGTTAGGTAGTTCTGCCGTTATTTGCATATTGCCCTTTTATTATATAGCATTATTAACGAACTATAATGCCCACTAATGACTAATTACTATAATCATGTTGCATTCATTTCCCTTATAAGCCTTATGTGCAGGCGCACCATTTCTCTCCAATAATATGAGAAGCAAATATTTTAGCAGCTGATTGCCACACCATTAGTCTTGGACTGACTTGTTTGGTGTGCGCAACAAGAAATATTTCGCTTTCGGAGAACAAGAAAAATAGGTTTATTTGCGTTATGCTTATTAATTTGTGCAGTTATTCAGTGTCTGGGAGGTTAGTGTTCAAGAAAAAATATTAATTTTTAGTAAAATGTTCTATTATTTTATGTTAACGATTACTCCTTTATTTAAGCCCTTTGTATTTATTCAGCATGTCTCCATCGCAATCAAGTGGTAGTAAAGATAAACGAAAAATTGCTGACGGACATCGGAATTTCCAAGAGGGGTGGGAATTGGTGTATTTTTTGCTGTGAAGTAAAAAATAAAATAATCTGCTTGATATGTAATAATGCTATTAGTGTACCAAAGTTATACCTTGGAAATGGAAGCTTTTTTTTTTTTTTTCTCGGCCCACATAAACTTAAACCTTGTTTACTTGGCCTGTGTTAGCCTTTGAGTTTGACATGCTGGCTTTAGACCCTTTGGATAGACACAGGGCTTCTAAGAAGGTCAAGGGGATACTTCCTAGATCCTCCCTGCTGGACAACAGGACTGAGAATCCCACAGCAGCCTCACCGGCGGCGTAAGGTGAGAAGGGCCGTTCTGGAACAAATGCAGGTGTGACTTGCGTCTGCGGAGTAGATTAATATGACACGTTAGAAACCCACAAGTCTTTAACAGAATTATATCAGTGTGGATGAAGAGAATTCAAAATGAAAAGAAATCTGCGTTCTGGGCAGGAGGCAGGCTGGGAAGTCTGTTTGGTTGCTAACACTGACCCTTTCATCTGGGAAGAGAAGGGTAACTCAGAGTCTGAAGCCAAGAGCCATGGACAACCACTCCCCGAGAGCAGGACCAGGTGCCCAGGAAGGGACTGGCATGCTTTTAGAATTGCTCTGCACACTTTTTTCTTTCTTTCTGAGTGGGAATATCTGTTGTTATCCTGTGCCCACCTTTTTGTTGTGTGTTAGGTTTGGGGGAAGGTCTCTTGAGTTCACAGACCTTTATTTATAATTTTTTTAATAAAAAAATTTTTTTTAATTGATTTTTCACAGAGAGGAAGAGAGAGGGATAGAGAATTAGAAACATCGATGAGAGAGAATCATTGATCAGCTGCCTCTTGCACACCCCTGCTGGGGATGTGCCCGCAACCAAGGTACATGCCCTTGGCCAGAATCGAACTTGGGACCCTTGAGTCTGCAGGTTGACGCTCTATCTACTGAGCCAAACCAGTTAGGGCGAGTTCCCAGACCTTTAGATCTAGCGGAACCATTCTCCAAGGGACCACACCGGAGGGGCCTCCTCTGCACCAGACCTGATTTAGAAGTTGAGGTCCTGGATTCGGAGCCTAAGCCTGGTGACATCGCTGATGGATTTTGGGTGTCTTGGAGGGTAAGTGTATTTTTGAATATGTGAGGGTCATGATTCTTCAGGGACCAGCAGGCAGACAGTGGTAGCTAGTCTTCAGAGCTGGCACCCAGTGAACCACATCTCTGGTATTCCTGGCCTTGAACCTTGCTGTCCTTGCCACTTACTTTTGGCCAATAGAACACAGTGACAGCGATGCTTCATGATTTCTGAGGACAGGGCCTAGGGAGCCTTTTGGCTTCTGCCTGGGTCTCTTAGAATGCTTGCTTTGGGATGGCCCAGCCGGCATTGAGCCGTCTGGTTTCTCTGAGGCTGCCATGCTCTGTGGGAGCCAAGCTAGCCATGTGGACAGGTCACCTGGAGAAACAGTATGGTCAGCCAGACTGCACGTGTCCCACTGTCCCAGCGGAGGCCCCAGCCAGGTGAACCTGCATTTGACTCTAGACCTCACTCCTATTGTGCCGCAGTCACACCAGAAACCCCAACCACCCCCAAGAGATCACCGAGCCAGCCAGTCTGTAGAACTATGAGCAATAAAAATAATTTATTTTAAGCCACTAAGTCTTAAAAATGTGTGATGCTGCAACAGATAATTAAAACAGTACAAAAATTACATTTTGTTTTACTATACTTAAAAAATGCAAGTTAAATAATAAAATATCAAAACATCAAACTACTTTTCATATAAGTTTTTAAAAAGCTATTTTTTCTTTAAAATATTCAAAATTACCTATTAAAATTAAAAGGCAACCATCACTCATGTATAACTAAAAATGTTTTACCTAATACCTACACGATTTTAAATAAAATACTTAAATGAAGCTGAATTTTTAGGTTTTTGAAGACTTAACGAAATCTCATTATTTTTCTAAAAATAATGTCATGCACAGTTCCATCACTGTTCCATGTCTAATTGCCAATTTAAAGAATTGGTGTCATACTTCGTGCATGTTACATCTTGACCTGCATTTGCGCAAACGTAGGAAAATTATGAATTATTTATATTGGAAAATGTTCCTTCGCTGCCATGTGCAGCTGTAGCAAGTGCTGTGCTTATCTGCGAGTGCCTCTGGAACCACTACGAGAAGCAAGACAATTCATGCTTGCCACTGTTGGGACGTGTTACTTCCATTGCATTCTTGCTGTCTGAGAGGAAGGATTGTTTGATCCATTAATCTCTCTTCTCTTATCTCAGTGCTTCCACCATTCAATCTCTCCTACCCCCCCCCCCCCCCCCCCCCGCAAGGCCCATCTCTGAGGTCAGTAGCAGCATAACCCATGCGTTTCGACAGCATTCAGACACAGTCTCCTTTTGATTCAAGGACAGAACGCCAAGGCTTGGAGGAGCACTCCCTAGCGCCTGAATGGTGTTACCCATCCGCATGGATGTTCCCAGTTAGCGATCATGCTGTGCTAATGCTGAGTGCTGGACCCCAAGGGACAGCGGTACCCATGTGTGCTTCAATGGTGCAGTGTGTGTGCGCGCGCGTGCAACGTGGACCTTCCAAAGTGTGGGCCTCAGAGCTGAGTGTTATTCCCGGGAAGGAACTCGGTGGGGCTCCTCTTGCCTACCTCTAAGGTAGGGTGTCGAACTCAATCAGAGAAGGGGCCAAAATCTAAAATCCAGCCTAAATCGCGGGCCGAATGGTTTACTGAACAGTCATAAACTGTCATTGTGATGGAAACGCAGCAGAGTGCAGTGATGACAGCGCGGTGCGGGCCACATTGCAAGGCCTGGCGGGACGGATTTGGCCCGCGGGCCTTGTGTTTGACACATGTGCTCTAAGGCATCACTGCTTCCAGGTGCCTCTGCTGCCAGCCTGGCCAGGGCCTCTGGTGCCTCTCTCCTGAAGGTCCATGGGCCCTTGGGAGACTCATCCTCCGTCTGAGTTAGTTCTTCGGTTTGAAGCACATGTTATGGTCAGTTATTGGCCTGGGGTAGCAACTGAGTCCTTGTCAGCTGCAAGTGAATGGCCAATGCATAAAGCCTACACAGGGATCCTCCAGTTTTCGAAAGTTTGCGGTTACACACTTTTGCTTTTACGAATGATCTGTGTTAGTTAAAATAATGCTTTGATTACAGTTATGTACAGCATTCTATTCATTTCAGGTATACAACCCAGCGATCAGACATTTTTATCTCTTACCAAGTGATCACCCTGAGTAAGATCTAGTACCATCTGACACCATCTATAGTTGTTACTGGTTACTACCTGTTTTTGATAACCGAAAGAAATCTGAAGGAAATTTTTGCTTTCATGAAAAAAGGCGAAAAGCATTCAACTTTCGTTTTGCAGCAGCCATTAAAAGGGCAGTGCCCACCCTGAGCAGCGAGAGGGGCCCCTCCAAGTTCCTTCCAGGGGAACTACACTCAGCATCTCGGCATTGAGTCCCCGTAGTTTTAGACTGTGTCTCGATTTATTTTGTGCACATCTCTTAATGATCTGTGTTAGTTAAATGAGATGTGTCCTAAAATATCAGAAAAGCCAAAGAGCTCATAAGGGAGTAATGAATATACAGCATAAAACTAGACATAAGTGCCCTGGCCAGTTTGGCTCAGTGGATAGAGCGTCGACCTGCAGACTCAAAGGTCCCAGGTTCGATTCCGGTGAAGAGCATGTACCTTAGTGGTGGGCACATCCCCAGGAGGAGGTGTGCAGGAGGCAGCTGATGGATGTTTCTCTCATTGATGTTTTTAACTCTCCCTCTCCCTTTCTCTCTGTAAAAAAAATCAATACAATATATTAAAAAAAAACCAAACCAAAAAACTAGACATAAGTGTTTTGATCGTGGAGGGTGAAATAAAGACACAAATTAATGGTAATTGCTTCGCATCCTGCCATTTCAGCTTAGGAAAGGCTGCATAGGAACACTGCTTTCTGGAGATCGGGGGAAAGCTGTATTGGGCCCCACAACTGGAAAGTCCAAGGGCAGAGATGTAGGGCTCAAACTACTTTAGGGGTGAGGGATGGGGAGGTCTGGGATGGACAGATGGCCGATCAGGCCTCCTAGAGTTGGGGTGGGGGGAAGCGTGCATGGTTAAGGAAGGGAGGGAGCCAGTACGTAGCCCCCCTCCACACCCGGTTAAAACCTTTTGCGAAATTCAGCAATTTAGTCTGTTGTGCTGGGCCCCCCGGGCCGGATTTCTCAAGCAGCCCGGCTGGTAGGCACTATCTCCCCGGGCCTGTTGCTGCCTGAGCAGATTTTGCACCCACTCCTGTTTCAAAGCTCGCAGTCCTTCGCCAAGCCCCTGGTGCAGGTATGACCTGCCACCTGCAGAGCAGAAACGTGGGCGAACGCTGACATCACTTCTGCCAGCGACCGAGGAGGGCCATTTCCCCAGCCCATTCCCAGCTCTCCTGATGGGCTGGCCGTGGGTGGAGACCCCTGTGGTTGGCCCATCGGAACGTTTCACTTCACACAGCTGCTCCTTCACAGGCAGGGCAGGTTGGACAGATGACCCTCCCAGAGATCCCACAGGGGCCCTCCCTCCATCCCCTTTCCCCTGACCCTCCCCGCTGCACGGAGTGCTGCTCCCTCCTCCTACTCCCCTCGTCAGCCCAGAGTCCCCCGTGTTCCAGGACACACATTCCCGGGGCCTTTTAGAATTGGCTGGGAACTAACCATCTGAGGAAAGGAGGGAGGGCTGGCCAATATGTCCTCAAGGCTGCGTGCCCAAGCTCCGTGAGGCCTGCAGCCCGCCAGCAGGGAGCCTATGGAGTGTGGGGGCCACACCTTGAGCCAAGACACAGGTGGTGATGGGCTGGGAGTCCTCCTGGGGGCTCAGCCACCTGCTCTGGTCTGAGTGACGCTTCCTCCCACTTTCTTCCCTGTCTCTCCCTCTCCCTTTCTCCTTTCCCCTCATTAGATCTCTCTATTTCTCTCTCCTCTCCTCTGCTTTCTCTCCCCGACCTAAATGAGGTCAATGAAACAAACCGTGGTAGATACACACTACGGACATATAAGCCCGATCACGTTTTTAAAAATGTTCAGTGCCATGAAACTCCCTGTGATATGTGTGGAGGAAAGAGAGCTCACAAGGCATCGTAGGCAGTATGAGCTCAGTTTTCTAACCTTCTCTCCCCCTGCCCCAACACACACACACAAAGACAACACAAATCACACAACACAGAGTCATGTATATAACACTGCAATGTCCACTTCCTTTCAACTATGCTCTTTGGGGTCTAGGCCCGAGTCCCTGGGTCAAGGCCCTTTGAAGACCCCAAGAATGGCGGATCCAGCCAGAGCCAGGAATGCATTTCAAAGGCTGCCCATCCCTCCTCCCCTTGGCCCACTAGGGTGTTTGTCACTTCCTTCCCTTGGGAACATCCGGAGGAGGGCCTGGCCGAGGGAAGAGATGAAGGCAGGACTGTTGGATCAAAGTCCAGGCCCATAATGCAGGCACCTCCTGGTCCCACCTAAGGACACGATAATATGCATTTATTCACACACACAAGCGGAGGGCAGTGGGCTGGCCTGCCATAAACCGTCTCTTATTACAAAGCCAGAATCTTTTCCATCTGTGTTTAAGCTTCAGCCTATGAAATAATGTCTATAAAAATGAGATTGGAAACAAAAATATTGAAAGCAATAAATTATGGCTACACTGTGTTCCCTCCTGAGGGATGTCCTGGCCAAAGAGCCTTCAATATTTTTATCTAGGGCCGTGCTTTGCAGCGTTTCCTCATAAAGCATTCCATTTGCTGACGGGAAGAAGGGGCCTAGACGGCAGAGATTTATTCAATAGAGCTATGGTGCTTGGCTGTCGGTACCTGCCTGGCATTTAAATTTCTCTTCCAAAGCAGCTCAGTTCTGCTTGTGGTGGGACTGCACAGTGAAAGCCAAGAGGGGGCTTCTGGCGGGGGAGACTTGTTGGCCAGTTTCCACCACGACACTATCTCCCTTCTCACAACCCTCCCCCCGTCCCCCACCCCATCGCGACCATGAATCCAGACACCGTCATGCAATTCCCTCATCGATTCAACGCGCCTACCATTTCCTAGGCAGAGGCCAGGGCTTGGGAGGGATGAGTATGACACAGATCTGAGAGTTAGTAGGCCAGATAAACAAATAACTTAGAACGAGAAGGGAAGTCGGCAACAAGATACTGAAAAGTTCACCCAGAGTTCAAAGGAGAGGAAGACGCGATGGCTTTTGAATTGAGTCTTAGAGGGTGGGCTGGATCTTAACTGCAGAACTGAGAGGAAAGGCCTTCTCAGAAGAGGAACTGATGGTAAGAGAAAGCGTAGAGTTGTGACACATGGAGGGAGTCCAGTCAGGCTGGACTGTTGAGTTCATGAGGGGCTGAGAGGGAAATCTGGTGGAAGGCTGAGTGGGGCTAGATCAGGAAATGTGACGGACAAAGGACAAGACCACTCAATCCTGGGCTTCTGGCTTTTTATATGGTGGAAAGGGGAGGACCGATGGGGAGTGAATTGAGCTGAGGGAGGACGGAGCTGGCTTTGAAGCTTATCCCTGTAACGTGATCTGGGGCCAGGGAACATTGTCTTTCTCTCCATCTTCCCTTTTCTGACTCTTCCCTTCTCTTGGCTGCCTCAAAAACTCAACAAAAATGTTGGGCGTTAAGCCATTGACTCAAAATCCTAACCACCCCCCACTTTGTCCCTTTCCTGAAACATCGGTGACAGGGAGGAGGGAGAGGGATGAGGATGAAGCACACACGGCCATTACTTACTTGCCTTGCCTTCTACAGAGTGATGCCATGTGGTAGAGGTGTGCAGGAAGAGGGTGCCAGTGCTTGCTGGGTTGGCTGGTACCACAGAAAGAGAGAGGACCGACTGTGTCCATTCACATGATCTGTGTTGCCCTTCTTTCTGGGATCAGCTAGACAACGTGTTTCTGGAATGTTCGACTCAGAGGAGAGGAACCCAGAGCCAAGGCAAGGGCATCTCCAAGAACCAATGGGAGGAAGCCTAGGCTTCTGGTGCCTTGGGTGGATGGACAAGGCTGGTACCACCTCCTGCGGCCTCTGTCCTTGGAGTGAGGGTGGGGCTGCCCTCATGCCATGTTCGAGATGTATCCAAGGAGGCATTTCCAAGCTCTTTTTAAATTCTTCACTCGGCTTTCTTCAGTAACCAAGCCTCCCTTGCAAGGACCTTCCTTATTCTCTCCTATTCTTCTATTCTGTGTAGAGGGAGGAAAAGTCGACCAGTTGTCCCACTGGGGCTGGGACTCTTCTCTGGCAGTCATTCTGGATGGAGCTTGGATCTCTCCCTCCATCCCCCAGCTCACAGAGCATGAGTCCAAGAAGTTGGGACTATGGGAGAAAAGGCGCCTGTGACCCCCTGCCCCCCCCCCCAGCCCCCACCATTCCCTGCCGCAGTATTCTCTGGGGACACACAGAGAGAAGGGTCTTCCAGGCGAGCGGCAGCAGGGCCAGCATTTGTGGTAGGCGGTGTTTATGTGAGCGCACAAATGTTTATGCGAGATTGCCAAGAGGTTATTTATGAGTCTCCCGGCCCTTCCCCAATAAAAGCTGTTCCCTCAATGTTCTGACAGGCCCCGCATCTGTAACTAATGTGTCACTCGCTCAGCTAATGCAGTTCA